TCAACCAAACCATGTTTTAACTATTGTCTGCTTATTAACACAACTTATGCTAATTGTCCAAATTGCCATTATGCAAGTTAGCTGCAGTTTCAATTAGCTTGAGAACCCTACTATACCTTTCTATCATAAGACTTTGGGGTGCTCAACATTTCCGGGTTCACAATACGACTCTCTGATCTGCAGACACACTATGGTGTTGATTTCTTTCAAGTTAAAGTCCGTCCTCAGCTCTTCTACATGTGATGAACCCTGGTGTTGAGCTCTGACAGTGAAAGCAGATCTTCTCTCGTCTGCAGTGAGATGGAGGAGGAGGTGGAGTTCCAGGAGTTTAAGCGCAGCTACCTGAAGGGGATTATCGATGACGATGATGAAGATGGAAACGTGTCGGCCTGTGACGACGCTGCGCCCATAGAGAAATAAAGGAGACGGAACGAGCGGCGAAAAAACAAACAGCCTCTCCTCAGAGTTTTAGTTAAGGGACCATATCTGTGATTCAGCCTGTTTACGTCACTCCGTCATACGGGAGAGCATTAGGGTCACATGAGGGGGAAATGGGGATGTGACCAAAAGTAACAAATTATTAAGTTCCTACTTTATTCTTAGAAATCTGAGATTTTCAGGAAAATAAATTACCAGAAAAAACTCAATATTGTTTTACTTTTGGTCACATCCCAATATTTTCCCTCATGTGGTCAAAACCCTCTTCCGTACACTCGGGTCAAAACTGCTTATTTTTAGCACACACTTCAAACATCAAGCAGACCCAACGCAACACACATTACCACATGAAGTATTGTCTATATGCGTATAAATATATGCAGTTTCTTATTGATATTGATGCAGGCTATAGCCTTAATACTGTAGATGACTCGCAGTCAAAGACGCTTTGTCTTTAGCTGATATGCAGAACCACTGATATGGTCTTCATGAAATGAATCGTTCTGATTTATTAGTATATTTGTTGTGCTTTTTCAGTCATGCTTCTACAGTAGTTCCTGACTCTTAGAACAAGAGGCTGAAGCAAAGACTACGTTTAATCATATTTGATTTGAGCTCAAAATGGTGGTGTGAATAGGATTACTAAAACTAGGCCAAATTAAACTGGCCTTCCTCTGATTCCTCTCCTGTAGTGTGATCTATAGGTTTGTGTGCATGTAAATGGTCTGCAAAGATTAAAATCCCTCCCTTCTCCTCCATTGGACTCCTTTGTTTACTTCCAGCACATAGTGACATCAATACGGAACACTCGTGCTCCTATTGGCTAGCGCTCGAACACGTCGTACGTGATAGGCTGAGGGGCGGGACATCTCTAAGCAGAGACGTCACGTGGTACCCATGTCAGAACAAACTGCCATCTCTGCAGACTTTGACACGGACAATATATTTAAATGAACACAAGACTTTAGTTTTGTCTCTTGGTTTGAGAGTTTTTTAAATGTTATCTGTTTCTGAAAAAAGACAAAAGCAAGCCTCAGGAGAAAGTAAACTTTTAATTTCAGACAAAAACCACAATGCACAGATCCCAGCATCTTACCCACATCTGCGTTATCGCTCAGGACGCCTCAGTCAGCGCTTCAGGGGAGCTTTCATTCATCCTTACGACACATTGTGTTCACCTCTGTGTCGTCCAAAAAGTCCAGAAATCGACATACTTGTTTTTTCCAATTCACCACAAGGTTTTAAAAGTGATTTCGTAAAGAACTCATGACCCCTTCTTCCCTGTTGAGTCACGCTGAATATCTGTTATCTAAAATATTAAAGACAATTTCATCTTCTTAAAAAATGAATTCAGTTTTAATGTTTATTTTTATGAAACAACATTTTTGAACCCACCCTCAAACTTGATGACTTTTTATTTGGTGCAGTTAATAAACAAACACATGGTTGTCTGACCAGGACCTCCACCATCTGGTTTCCTTCACAGCGCCTTCCCTCAAGCCTCTTTCTGATTTTGACTTGACTTTTGCACGGTGATGTTTCACATATTTATATTTTCAATCAAACAACGGCATTTCCCTTTCCAATCTCTCTCTCTCTTTGGCAGATTTATTTTCAATACAAATCACATCTTCTTTCGCTAAACCAAAATATTTGAATTAAAAAACTTGAGTGAGACAAAAGAACGGCAAGGGTTGTATTTGAACTGCAGATCTCACATTAGTATATCTATGAACCCAGCCAGCTAACAGAGTCAGCTCCAATGTGGCTCAAATATAATGACATGACCAATTTCCTGCATCAGACCTGCCTTCAGTTTGCCTCTCATGTATCAAGTCTGGATACAAACCGATCCCTTTTGACTGCAGAGGAATAGAGAGGTGCGGGAATGAGTCCTAAAACCCGGAAATGAGTCAGCAGTTTCAGGTTCAGCCGATGTTTTTTGTTGTCTTTGGTTCGAAGCCTGAAATAAGCTCTGTGATTAAAACGAGCTGAAGACATTTCGAACCAAAACACGTCATCCCTCCTGCTCCACTTTATTAAACCCACCATTGTGCTCCCTACCTTCACTGAGGAAGATGCACTAATCTGCGAGAAACGGCTTGAAGCTTTTCTGCCTCTTCCAAATAACAATTTCTAAAAGGAAGATGCAGCTTGGCCTGTTTTGAAGATGGTCCTAATCCTCTTTGTGCTGTCAAGTGATTTCTTGCAGTGCACATTTAAAGACAAATCAGCCAATCTCAATATTTATACATAGTTTGATCTTCTTTCCATCGTCACTGAATGAAGTGACTCTGCTCAAACTCGACTCTGTTGCTTTTGTCTGAAATAAAATGACGAAGTTGTTGCAGGGCTTGTGATCCAAGCAGCCGCCTTGCTTGTAATTTAAAATAATTAACTTTTATCAAACGTTACGCATCATCAACATTTAAAAAGGTAGAAAGTATTAAGGGTCTAAAACTAAACTGCAGGTCGCTGAACTCAAGGATTACAAAACATTTACTCAGAGGATTCGTAGTGCTTTAAAAACATTTAATTATTTCTGAACCTCTACAGCTCAGCGGTCTAACCGTTCATTAAAGTAATTACAAAAAAGCATTTGTGCATTTTGCTATTTCAGTGAGTGTTGAATCATGAGACTGAATATATCTCCACTTTTAAAGGAGGGGTATTTCCCCTTAATGAATCGCATTTAAACAAAAATTATTTTATTTTATTGTTTCCTCAATTTGTTATTCGTTTTCCAAGACTCCAACACAATACCGTCTGTTATGAGTTTACTAAACCACGTGATAAACTGAAGAAACTGAAACGTTGACTTTAACCAAATATTATATCAACACATTTCACAACGGTATTAGGTTAGATGAAAGAAATACTATTAAGTTAAAAGAGGTTCAACTTCATATTTTTGCTTTCAACTAACATAATACAGTTATGTGAAACGTACCACTGAGAATGTTGATTAAAATTGGAATATCTCGTGCTACGAAGAGGGCGTCCATATGGGACCTGTTCTGGGTGATAGCTAGGGTTAGGTTACTGAATTAGGGTTAGGTTACTGAATTAGGGTTAGGTTATTGAATTAGGGTTAGGTTACTGAATTAGGGTTAGGTTATTGAATTAGGGTTAGGTTACTGAATTAGGGTTAGGTTATTGAATTAGGGTTAGGTTAATGAATTAGGGTTAGGTTATTCAATTAGGGTTAGGTTACTGAATTAGGGTTAGGTTTTTGAATTAGGGTTAGGTTACTGAATTAGGGTTAGGTTACTGAATTAGGGTTAGGTTATTGAATTAGGGTTAGGTTATTGAATTAGGGTTAGGTTACTGAATTAGGGTTAAGTTATTGAATTAGGGTTAGGTTATTGAAATATGGCTAGGGTTAGTTTAAGGGGCTATTTACCACCGGTAATGCTGTGTACAATTTGATTATTTTGGGCTACGAGGTGGGAAAGTGTAATGGTGCGGGTTAAAAGTTAAGTTATGGAAGTCCATCCAATAGCTGTTGAGATGTTTCACCTGAAAACCAAAATGGTCAGCGCTAAGAGGATTCGATTTTAATCTGTAATGGATACAATTGGATAACTGCGATCTTATTTGCACCCCCAGGTTTTTATCTGTTTTACCGGATTATTGCATAGTCATTAAACCTGTAGATCAAAAAGCTCTAACGTTCGTAAAATTGACATGGGCCTCTAAATATTTTTAAATGAGCGTCAGGTGTATACACTAACTCCAAACACCAGAGAGGACCGACATCAGTAACAGTGATCGTTCTTCTCTTAACTCATACGGACACATAATTAATTACCTTTATTTTTGAAATAACGTCCTGCACTGAGCTTCTCTGTGTTAGGGTATTTATATTTCACACATACTTTATTCATTTCTGATGCAAAACCACTGACAGATGAGCGGAAAACGCTGATATATATTGAATTCTCTCGCTATAGACGCTCCCCTCACAAAATGGCCGAGAATGCACCGTGATTCTCAATCCTATTGCAGCGTCAGATCATAAAACCGTTTTATTTTTGTAGATAATGTGACAAAATACCCCTCCTTTAAAACATGCATTGGTTTTGATTGGCTTGAGGCGTCATCTACCCGCGACTGACTGACTATGGTTGAGGCGTGGTGGCTTGCGAGGAACTATTCCAGGTGAATTTGCCCTCATACATTTCAGGGGGAATAATTTGAGAACCTGGTCCTTCTCGACCAAACATGGTCATTTCGCAGGAGTCAGGGTACAGCAGAAACCCAGAAAAAATGCTGATGTAATCATCGCCGGCTATCACGCCGTTGAAGTTGTCGTCCTTCACCTGCAGCCACACTTTGTTCCCCAACACGAGGTGCAAGACGACGGTCATCGTGGCGGAGGACAGGTTGTTCACTTCAGTCGCCATTGCCATGCGATCGAAGTTTTTGTACAAGCCGACAACAACGGGCTTCCCGGAGACGGCCAAGCTGAAGCTGAAGACAAAGGTGCCGTTGACGGGCGCCGTGTACATTCCCATCTCTGGGTTGAAGTGGCCCTGCAGGTTGAGGATGACTCGATTGAAAGCAATGGGCCAGTTTGGAGCAGGATAGGGGCTGTCCAGAGCGGCGGAGAATGAAGATTTAATGGGCGTTGAGCATGGCCCGGGGACCCCCCTCACACCCAGGTCACCCTTGTTGCCCTTAAGCCCCATGGAGCCTTTGTCACCCTGGGCACCATCGTCCCCTTTATCCCCATTGAACCCTTGATCTCCTGGAAGTCCATTTGTGCCGTTTATCCCATCGGTGCAGTTACACATCCCCTGCTCACCTTGGTCCCCCTTCAGGCCGTCCATGCCGGGGTTTCCAGGGGTTCCCAGGTCCCCCTTAGGGCCCTTCATACCTTTCTGTCCCATTGGTCCCTGAACCCCAGGAAGACCTCGAGCTCCGGCTGGTCCTGCGGAGCCTTGTAGACCCGGCGGACCTGGCACACTTTCACAGGATGCGGGACAAATACCGTCTTCTCCCTGAGGTCCCAGGGGTCCTGGGGGGCCTTCAGATCCGAAGTCCCCTTTGTCTCCTAGAGACACAATAAGGACACATGCATTAGGGCTGCTCTATTAGGGGGCAAATAACTAATTGCAATTAAGATATGATTTGCGAAATATGGAATATGGAAGATGGTATGATCATGAAACAAAATGTACATTAACATGATGTAATTGAGTATATACTGTATATATATATAGACCTCTCTGCAGCTACACAACACAAATATAGAATAATGTGCAGCCCTAATATTAATTACAATTAGAAATGTCTTTGTGAACCCAGCCAGTTTAGCTATAGCAAAATGGGAATGTGACGTCATCTACTCCCAGTATATGTTCATGTACTGGAAGATTAATTACGCTGTTTTGTTAGCATAACATTAGCTGTCTAACCTCTGTCCGGATGACTCTATAGTCAATGAACCTGTAGATCTGAAGGTTCTCGAGCCCCTGTTTGTAAACCCGACATGGTTTCGTATTGCAGTGTCAGATCATAAAACAGTTATATTTTATTTCAGTCGAGTCATGACTTCCATTTAGCATAATCTGTACAGTGATCTCTGCAGACCTTTGTAGCCTCGTGAGCCTTTCATCCCGGAGAGTCCGGTGCCGCCACTCTGACCCTTCTCCCCCAGGTCTCCCTTCTGACCTGAAACCGCAGACAAAGACAGAACAAATATTACAAAACAAATCACAGGCAAGACGAGCTGACCTGCATCCTTCCCTGTTCCATAGTGATGTCACTATAAGATAAGCTCAGTAGTTTAACAGCAACAGGGTAAGGATGAAAAACAGGACAGAACAGAACAAGATTAATACAATTCAAGATAAAATCAAAGATAAAAATGTGTAAACATGGAGTCCAATTATCTTATTTTATTATCAAGCTTTATATTTACTTTTGCACTAATGTGTAACCAGCATGTTGCAGATGATTTTATATTTTAACCCGGAGGGAACACAGGGATTGTGACGAGTCAGAGCTAGCATGTAGCTGTACATGCTAACAACACGCCTGAGGCCGGTGTGTTTGAAGTGAAGTCTTGAACTCACCCTTGATCCCTTGAACGCCGGTGAATCCTCGCGGCCCGGAGAAGCCCGTCATCCCTCTCACCCCGGCACTCCCAGGAGTTCCTGACAGGGATCACACACAGGTATTCATTTTAATATTAGACATATGAAGAAGTTAAACTTTAAACATCCATGACTTAAACACTTTATCCAGGATCAAAGCCACATAGCTGCACCTGCAAGGTGAATACAGCTGGTAACAGAACAAGTGTTTGAATGCGTACATTAACAGGTTTATGATATCACTGCCCCGTCTAAGACACCATCTGACTTTCATTACATTTGACTCGAGTGTTTCCTCAACTTAATGTGTTGCTTAAAATAATCCTTCTGCATACAGTATGTGACACTGTGAGTGTTGCACGGCCATACGGCTCAGCTGACTCAGATAAGGAGATATATGATACATTATGATGTGATATGCCGCGGACTGTACTTAATGTTACTCTGATCCGGTTACTTATGTTGTGGCAGATATTTAAGTAAGCTTTCTTAACGCTAATGTTATAATAGTCAGATTGCTCTGAAGATGGGAGGTGATATTCTATTAATGTTCACGTTCACACAGTCGGTGATTTTTGCCGGCCGTCTTTCCTGCAACGGCAGCTTTTCTGTATTTCCTTTCTCCTGTAATATGACTTGATCGCTTTAAACTCCGCACACTGAGCTCTGATTGGTCAGCAGGCAGTGCTTTCACTGAGTTGAGCTCTTAGCCTGCAACCTAACCTGCTCCGGGGCAGGTTAGCCGCATCAGCATAAGTTACCATGGAGATCTAGCCTGCTAAAAAGAGAACCAGCTTCGTAGGACCGGAAACCCCGAGTTTTCCCTGAAGTTAGCCGGCTAAGCGAAAATCCTGCTTCGTAGTACAGGCCTCTGATGTCTCTGAAACACATGCAGCCTCGGATGCATCCTGTTATTCAAACATACTTATCGTAAGTCGCTTTGGATAAAAGCGTCAGCTAAATGCAATGTAATGTAATGTAAGATGATCGATGGCTACTGCCATATTTGCTGTGAAACTTGACAAGTGCATGTTTCA